AAGGAAGACAAAAATGATCATCTGTACTTTCAATGCACGTACGCTAGCTTCAGATACATCCATCGAGGACCTGATGGTACAAGCAAGAATGATCAAGTACGACATCATTGGTCTGACCGAGACAAGAAGGTACGAATCTCACCATGCCGTTTTCGACACTGGAGAAGAATTGTTCCTCGGAACATGCGATAAAAGAGGTGTCGGAGGCGTCGGTGTCCTTGTCAACACAAACTTGGCCAAGAGCATTGATTCATTCGAATGCCTAACAACCCGAATCGGACATTTACATCTGAATAGATGTGGCTCACTGCCTGCAGTTTCTATCTTCGTTGTCTACGCACCAACATCTCATTATGATGAAAGAGAAATTGAGAAGTTCTACATGGAGCTGGAGAAGTTCTATAAAGAAGACCACACCGTCTACAAGATCATCGTGGGTGATTTTAATGCCAAGATAGGACCGAGAAGATCAGCTGAAGAACTTCACATCGGGACCCATGGCCTAGAATGGAACGAACAGGGTGAGAGACTGAGTTCATCATGTTGACCAAGACCATCCATGGTAACTCACAGTTCCAGAAGGCAGAATCTAAACGTTGGACATGGGAGTCTCCCGGGGGATGATTCCACAACAAAATAGACCACATCATATTCAATCGACGCTTTTGCCTGACCGATGTCGCTGTTGTCCCAAAATTTCAAACGGGATCGGACCACTGTCTCCCTCGTGCAAAATTCTACTTCCCAGAGCGGGGAGAAAGGGCTGCAAAGTTCAAAAAGAGAACTCCCAGAACGACCACCAACTGGGAACTCTTTGGCACTATTGCTGCAACATGGGAAGATGCCATTGTTGACAACATTGACGAGGAATACGATCGACTGGTTCAGCACCTCCATGAATGTGCGAGGAACGCCAAGAGAGAGATAGCCACAAAAAGATGCCTGTCTTCGAAAACTCTTGAGCTAATTCGCCAGCGTGGTTTGGCGCATGCTTTACGCTAACGTACGAGCTCACAAAGCAGTGTAGAGATGCGATCAAGGAAGACCTCAAAGAGAGAAGAGCAGAAGTACTGGTAGACGGGAAAAGTATTCCTAATGTCCGCCTGTCCTTCGCCAACTACAAGACCAAGATGACTGCCCTCCGACATCCTGATGGATCCATCACATCCTCCAGAATGGCAATGGACAAGATTATCCATGACTTCTACTCAAATCTCTTCAATAGCCATGTCCACTTGCTGACATACCAAATTCCACAGGATGAATATGTCGTTCCCAACGTTCTCCCTTCCGAAATCCGACAGGCCATTTCGTCGGTAAAGAAACAAACAGCACCCGGCCCAGACAAGGTCAGACCTGAACACCTGAAGAACCTGCCATCAGTACTCATCAATACACTGGCTCGGCTCTTCACTCGCTACCTGTCTGAATGCAAGATTCCGTCCCAATGGAAAACCAGCAGGACTGTACTACTGTTCAAGAAGGGAGACAACCATGACATTGGCGACTATCGCCCTATCTTCCTATTGTCTGTCATCTACAAGTTGTTCACTCGAGTCATCCTAAATAGGATTGGCAGAACACTAGATGAAGGACAATCATGCGAGCAAGCCAGGTTCCGCAAAGGATTCAGCACCATCGACCACATCCACAGAATAACCAAACTCATTGAGGTTTCTCGGGAGTTCAAGATGCCACTCTGTCTAACGTTCATTGATTTAAAGAAGGCCTTTGATTCTGTTGAGATGGAAGCGGTCATTGAAGCCCTAGCCAATCAGGGCATTCAAGCCCAATACATCAAGATCCTCCGTGAGCTATATTGCAGATTCACTACCAGGATCTCACCATTCTACAAAGAACTGATCATTGATGTCAAGAGAGGGGTTCGGCAGGGTGATACCATTTCACTGAAACTCTTCAGTGCCACCCTCGAGAACATCATGCGATTACTGGAATGGGAAGAAATGGGAGTGAAGATAGATCGTCGGCAATTACACCACCTCTGCTTTGCTGATGACATTGTTTTAATAACACCAAACATCAGCCAAGCGGCACAAATGCTGGCCGACTTTGACTGTGAGTGTGGAAAGGTAGGACTACAGCTGAATCTTACGAAGACAATGTTTATGAGAAACAGCCTTGTTCCTGATGCGCCATTTGCTCTCAATGGAACGACCATCTCGGAATGCAACAGCTATGTGTACCTAGGTCGAGAAGTCAACATGACAAACGACCTGGCACCCGAACTGCACAGGAGGAAGAGAGCAGCTTGGAACACCATCAACAACGTCGAAGAAATAGCTAAGAGGACGAAGAACCTCCGGCTCCGGGCACATCTCTTTGATTCCACTGTTCTTCCTGCATTAACATATGCCTCAGAGACCTGGGCCCTACGCAAACAAGATGAGAACGCTATTCAGGTCTCCCAAAGAAGAATAGAATGAGCTATGCTTGGAATATCACGTTTCACTCAAATGAGAGAAAAAATCCGGAGTTCTGACATCCATCAACGATCAAGAATCAGGGATGCTGTCTCATTTCCCAAGGTGTCAAAAATCAGATGGGCTGGTCATGTAATGAGATTTAGAGAGGACCGCTGGACTAGAGCTGTTACTGACTGGATTCCATGGGATGTCAAAAGACCGCGTGCTGCCCACCTACCAGATGGTCAGACTTCTTCGTGAAGATTATGAACAATCGGTTTGAGGCTCCTCATGTTCCCAGAGCGAACAGATGCCATTGGGCTACACTAGCACGCGACAGGGACAAATGGAGACGTTACTGGCACCCGCTTGAGCAAATCGATGACTAACGGGAAGTTAAGTGATTAAGTGATTAAGATTTGTTTATCCATGGTTTTTTCATTGGGATTGTTTCCCTGAGATTCTGGTAGTCCAATGATTCTAATGCTGTTTCTTTTGGAATCGTCTCCTAGGACTCTGATTCTCTGTAGAGCTATTTTGAGGTCCTTTTCCACTGTTTGTTGTTGCGTGTTGGCTTGGTGCAGTTGATCTTCCAGCTCACTGATTCTTTCCTTAGCTGTGGTCACTCTATTTTTGAGGGCACAGAGTGAGTTTTTGACTTCATCTATGGAATCTGTGATCGTGCCATTTTTGTGCAAAGCTTTCCAATTTCTGCTCTCATTTCTTGCTGTATTTTGTCGATTGTGCGATCGGTTGTTTCTTTCATGTCCTCTTTCGATTTAGCGGATATCTGTCTGATTGTTACATTGAGTTGATTAAACATCTTCGTGACTTCATATCTGAATTCTTTGTCAGAGAGGTTCCTAAGGTGGCTAGCATCTACTGAGGCTTCTGGACGTATTTCCTTGTCGTCTCCCTGTGGCGGGGATTTGCATTGTTTCTTCATGTTGTTGCGTAGGTATAGGGGTCAGATTTCTTGATTCAAGTAAACTACCTGCAGCCACATAAGCGTCCACCAGCCAAAAATTAGGCCATGCCCACTTTTTAAAATCCACGCTCACTTCTAAAGTGGCCACACCCCCACAGATGTGGAGGAGTAAAGACTGGGTGGGGAGTAGAGACCAGCTTGGCTTGGGCAGCGGAAAGGGAGAGGCAGAGAGGCTCAGATCTGTTTTGTCTCTCCGTGTCTGGGGGACGCCTCAGGGCTTGCACAGTGGAATCCAAGTTCTGGGTCTGAGAAACGATGCGAAAACTGACCTGGGGATTGGGGAGGGGAGACCAGCTTGGCTTGGGCGGCGGAAAGGGCCCTGATGCACTTTTTATTTAATGAATAGTGGTAGTTTTAAAATTAACAAGGGTTTTTCTAACTATCCTATAGTAATGTTTATATCATAAACAGTAATTATATATATTAAGACATACAATAATATCTTTCAACAACATGCTATGTTTTCTGAAATCCAATAAAATCATTACTTGGAACAAATGATAATCCTGATGCATTCTAATGATTTGACCTTAAAGCTTCACATTTCAGAAACAAAAAAGGTTTATTATTAAAGAAAATTGAATCCTGGAACGTTGAAAGTTTTACATAACTGAAAATGGCTACATGAGAAAACAGTGACAAGTGCCTGCAAAATCACAGAACCACCCTTAGTAAAACAATACAGTAAACATCCGAAAGTGAGCGATCAGAAGAAAACAAATGGCATCTCTTCAGAATTTTGTCTACTCTTGCCACAACCCAAGCAAGTTTTTAAAAGTTGCCCATGTGCGTGAAATAACTATGAAAAAATTATCTCCAGGGTTTAAAGGCTTTAGAGTACAGTGATGCTTCCTAAAACCAGAAGCATATATTGATTACTGAATTCATTCCAAAGCCTCTTCTTAGAAAAAAAAAGAAAAAAACTTAGAAGGAAAATTCACATGCAGCTAATAAACATAAAAATACCAAACGTACACATACAAAATTCCCAAAAGCAATTACATGTATTCCCAGGCCTGAGACATTTCTTATCAGAAGTAAAGATTCCACACCATAGAGAAGACAGCATTACAACACAGTATTATTAAAATATGCTGATGGCTTTAAATTTTTTTTTTTAACTTGTGTTTGGGCCAAACTTTGTGGTGCTCAGAGTTTACTCCTGGCTCTGTGCTCACGGATCACTCCTGGAGAGCTCCGAGGACCATGTGGAGTGCCAGAGATGGAACTCAGGTCGGTTATGTGAAAGGTAAATGCTCTACCTGCTGTACTATGATTCTGGCCCTGATTTTAAGTTCTTACTCTATTTTATACCTATCATGTACATAGCCTGCCTCTTATAGGCTGCAAGGCACCAACAGGAGGCGAGACAGAAAGAAGTTACAAAGCTTGTTGAAAATAACTTTTTTATTGCCCATGAGATATGTTTTCTTGTGTCATTCCCCCCCCCCCCCCCATTTGTTTTACTTTGTAATCACTATAAATTTAAGCTTCGAAAAGCATGTCTTTTTTCTTCAGAAACAAAACAAAGCTTTTCTGTTATTTGCTAACCTGATCTCATTTAAGAGAAAAATGATAGATATAATTTATACCATGAATGATACAGATATAAATCTGGTGGCACTAAAAGAAGATAACAGCATTGTTGACAAAATTAAAATCTGCTGGTGGCATTTGCGGAAAAGAAGCCCTTGCAAATTTCTAAACAAAAGTAAACTCTGTTAGGAAAAGTCTAAAGTGTCTTACAGGCCAAAAAGGGAGTTAGGTTAGTAAAACATTTCAACAGAGTTTGAGTAAAATACTGGATTTGAGAGTTACTGAAACTTGGATATGTAAAAATAGGGTGATAGTTGGATCATGCTCACAGTGGTCTCAAGTTCAAATAAGCTACTGTGACAATACACCACTTCACAGGTCACTCGCCTTTCCAGGGGCTTTTCTTTCCCTCAGTAGGTACTGGCAGAGGGTGAGCTCAGTCATTTTCCAATGTAGATGCCTAAACCCAAAGCCAAAACATGGGATAGGAAGAGAGATGGAATGAACACCTTAAGGAATTCGGCTGAGAAAATACCCCCTTTCTTCATGGCTCCACTTTTCCTCATGCTTAGTGAAACAGAACGCTTAGGGTGCCTAAAGTGGAACTCCTTGAGTGGGATGTTCTCAGTTCTACTGGACCAGTCCAACACCCCGTCTGCACTTTTCTTCAAAGCCTCAACTTCTTTCTCTCCTTCTACAGCTTCTTCTTCTGATTGAGAGCTATGGTCCCTGCTGGTATGCATTTCCACATCAAACATAATCTGCCTATCGTCTTGTGGGGAAGGGCTGTCACAGTGAGAACTGCCTCTGGAATTGCTCTGTCCTGATTCATGTTGTGCATCCAAAAGAATCTTCTCCATGTCCCCATTGTGAATTGAGGATGAGGAAGGTATGTGTTCTAGCCCCCCATTTTTCCCATTGGCATTATCATTTCCTTTGCTGCTGTTCATGGGGAGCTCCACCCAAGAACTGTTGAGGCCGGCTGGCGGGGGCAAAGGCTGTTTACCTTCCTCGCAATTGTTGTTGTTGTTGTGTAGGGGTGGCAGCTACTCTACTAAATGAGATGACATCGTTGGGCAGCAAGAAACTGTGGCCGCAGCACAGATGGGCTCCAGGTTCTGGGGCCTCAGCTACTTTCTTACAGTAGTTGTGCAAGAAACAGATCAGACAAATGTGATACTCTGCAACTTTCTTTGCAGGCTGTCTGTGACATTTGCAATAAGCTTGCACACCCAGCAAACAGCTCACAGTCACCACTTAGGTTCCACTTACCAAATATCATCTCATTCTTTATCACTTACTTCCACACAGCAAAATTTTATCTTTAAAGGACATCTGTCTCTGTCTTATTATGGCATCGTTGGGATTGTTTAAATCCATCTCACTCCCCACCCCCTTTTTTAAAAACCACCGCCCATGGTAGTTTTCCTCTCTTGATTTGTAGCCTTGGGACATCAGTCGTACTATCTATGGTCTGTATCTACTTTATGTAGTGAGATTTTAAGGGTTTGAAGTGTTTTTGATTTCATTTCATATTCTTGATCTCATCTAGTTTTAACTCTGGTAGCCGTAATAGATTCAAGGACTAGAGATACACTGTGAAAGCAAATTAGCTTTATCTTTTTTTTTTCTTTTTGGGTTAACACCAGTGATGCTTAGAGGTTACTTCTGGCTCTGCCCTCAGAAATTACTCCTGGAGGTGCTTGGGGGACCATACGGGATGCCGGAGATCGAACCCAGGTTGGCCACATGCAAGGCAAATGTCGTACCTGCTTTGCTATAGCTCAGGCCCCAAATTAGCTTTATTGTGATACCAATTTAATAGCATTAGAAAATGACTCTTGTCTATTTAGCATTTCTGCTTTTTTCCAGCAAGAATAAAGTCACTGTGATTACTCTTCAGTTGTCTCTTTTGTTACTTCTCCTTTTCATGAGGTCAGTGGTCTGTCTGGACACGAAGGTCTCGTACTTTGTGGCTGTCCCCCTAGCCCAGTGATGTCCCATAGGAAATTCTCTGACAGCGGAGATACTCCATACCTAAGGGTTCAATAGGTGGCCACAAGCCACATCTGGCTATGAGCATTGAAATGTGGCTAGTATGAGCTAAGGACCTAAAACAAAAAGGTGAATGGCAGATTAGTTTTTAAAGGATTTTATCATTATATCACTTGACATCCCATTATACATTGATTTGCTCGAGCAGGCACCAGTAATGTCTCCATTCATCCCTGTCCCATGCTAATATAGCCCAATGGTGTCTGCTCGTTAGAGGAACACAAAGAGCCTCAAACCAATTGTTCAGGGTCTTGACGAAGAAGTCTGACCATCTCATAGGTGGGAAGCCACGCAATCTTTTGATGTCCTGTGGAATCCAGTTGGTAATGGCTCTTGTCTAGCGGTCGTCTCCAAAATGCATTATGTGTCCAGCCCATCTGATTTTCAACACCTTGGCAAATGAGACAGCGCCCCTGATTCTTGATCATTGACGGAGGTCAGAACTTCGAATTCTTTCTCTCACTTGAGTGAAGTGTGATACTCCAAGCATAGCTCTTTCGATTCCTTGGAGACCCAAATAGCGCTCTCATCCTGTTTGCGTAGGGCCCAGGTCTCTGAGGTATATGTTAATACAGGAAGAACAGTGGAATCAAAGAGATATACCCAGAACTGGAGGTTCTTTGTCCTCTTAGCTATTTCTTCGACGCTCTTGAAGGCATTCCAAGCCGCTCTCTTCCTCCTGCGCAACTCAGGTGCCAGGTCATTCATTATGTTGACTTCTCGACCTAGGTACACACAACTGTTGCATTCAGAGATGTTCATTCCATTGAGAGCAAATGAAACGTCAGGAATGAGACCGTTTCTCATAAAGATTGTCTTCGTGAGATTCAGATGTAATCCGACCTTTCCACACTCACGATCGAAGTCAATCAGCATTTGTCCTGCTTGGCTAATGTTTGGTGTTATTAGAATGATGTCATCAGTGAAGTGGAGGTGGTGTAGCTGCCGACTGTCTATCTTCACTCCCATTTCTTCACATTCCAGTCGTTGTATGACATTCTCAAGGGTGGTACTGAAGAGTTTTGGTGAAATGGTATCACTCTGCTGAACCCCTCTCTTGACATGGATGATGACTTCCTTGTAGAATGGTGAGATCCTGGTAGTGAATCCATAATACAGCTCACAGAGGATCCTGATGTATTAAGTTTGAATGCCCTATTTGGCTAGGGCTTCAATGACTGCATCCGTCTCAACAGAATCAAATAACTGTCATTCTGTTATTAATTGATTGCCTCGAGCAGGCACCAGTAACTTCTCCTTCATCCTAGCCCTGAGATTTTAAAAAGTGCCACATTTGAGGCTCTTGCAGGGTCAGGAGAATGAGACCTATCATTGTTACTGGTATTTGGCATATTGAATATGCCATGGGGAGTTTGCCAGACTCTGCCATTTGGGCAGGATACTTTTGGTAGCCTGCCAATTGCCGCACACTTCCAGGAGGAGGGTTTTATAGTCTCTTGGTCTTGGCCGTTGATGGGATTACACGGTGCTGGGGACAGTTGCTGGGTGTAACACCTGCATACTGGAAGATGGGAGATCTGGATGGAGGAGGCCCCAGTCCCGATCCGAGCAGGCTTGGAGATCTACACACCGGGTCCCGCACACCTGGGTTCCTCTGCCAGTTCCTTCATGCATGAGGCTCGCCCAAACATGTGGAGAGTGGTCTTAAGCATGGCTGTGACTCCATCTCATGCATGGAGGCAGAAGATTCTGCACTGTTCTCTTCCGGGAGCAGGGTTTTATAGTCTCTGGGTCTTGGCCGTTGATGGGATTACATGGTGCCGGGTGCAGTTGTTGGATGTTACATAAAACCCTGCTCCCAAAAGAGAAGAGGACAGTCTCCTGCCTATGCGTCTGGCTGTCCTCATTGGGGCCCCTTGGAGGAGGGAAGGTTGAGTTTCCCTTCCCACCCTGAGCAGAGCCCTGGCAGCTGAAGACTTCCAGTTCCAGCCACAGCCATGCTTAAGACCACTCTCCACACATTTGGACGAGCTTCTCACATGAAGGAACCGGCAGAGGAACACAGGTGTGTGGGACCCAGGGCGTAGATCTCCAAGCCTGCTCAAATTGGGACTGGGGCCTCCTCCACCCAGATCCCCCATCTTCCAGTATGTAGGCGTTGCAATCACCAACAGAATCAAAGACATTTTTTAAATCAATGAACTTTAGACAGAGCAGCATCTTGAACTCCCAAGAAACCTCAATGAGCTTGGTTATCGTGTGGATATGGTGGATCATGCTGAATCCTTTTCGAAACCCGACTTGCTCGCATGGTTGTCCTTCATCTAGTGTTCTGCCAATCCTATTCAGGATGACTCGAGTGAAGAGATTGTAGACGACAGACAACAGGCAGGTAGGGAGATAGTTGCCAATGTCGTGGATGTCTCCCTTCTTGTATAGCAGTACAGTTCTGCTGGTTTTCCATTGGGACGGAACCTTGCATTCAGACAGTAGCATGTGAAGTGTCGAGCCAGCATATTGATGAGTACTGATGGCAGGTTCTTCAGGTGTTTGGGTCTGACCTTGTCTGGGCCGGGTGCTGTTCACTTCTTTACTGACAAAATGGCATGTCGGATTTCAGAAGGGAGAATGTTTGGAACGACTTAAGCATCCTGCAGAATTTGGTATGTGGGCAGGTGGACGTGGCTATGGAAGAGATCTGAGTAGATGTCATGGATAATCTTCTCCATGGCACTTCTGGAAGATGTGATAGATCCATCAGGACGTCAGAGGGCAGTCCTCTTGCTCTTATAGTTGGCAAAGGACAGGCAGGCATTGCAAATGCTCTTCCCAGCTTCTGCTGCATCTGCCAGCACTGCTGCTCTTCTCTCTTTGAGGTCTTCCTTTATCACTTCTCTGTACTGCTTTGTGAGCTTGGACATTCACTTACAGTTGCCTGAGGCTTGCGACAAGCCACGGTGGCAAGTGAGCTCAAGAGCTTTCGAAGACAGGCATCTTTTTGTGGCTATCTCTCTCTCGGCATTCCTTTGACAATCATGGAGGTGTTGAACAGGTTGATCGTATTCTTTGTCAATGTTGACAACGACGGCATCTTCCCATGTTGCTGCAATAGTGCCAAAGAGTTCCCAGTTGGTGATCATTCTGTGAGTTCTCTTCTTAAACTTTGCAGCCATTTCTCCCCAATCTGTGAAGTAGAATTTTGCACAAAGGAGACGGTGGTCCGATCCTGTTTAGAATTTTGGAACAACAGCGACATTGGTCAGGCAAAACCTTCAATTGAATATGATGTGGTCAATTTCGTTGTGGAACCATCCACCAGGAGACTCCCATGTTCAACGTTTAGATTCGACCTTCTGGAATTGTGAGTTACCATGAATGGTCTTGGTCGACATGATGAAGTCAGATAGTCTCTCACCCTGTTCGTTCCATTCTAGCCCATGGTTCTTGATGTGGAGTTCTTTGGCTGATCTCGTTCCTATCTTGGCATTAAAATCACCGACAATGATCTTGTAGAAGGTGTGGTCTTGATAGAACTTCTCCAGCTCCATGTAGAATTTCTCAATTTCTTCTTCATCATAATTGGGTATTGGTGCAAAGACAACGAAGATGGAAACTGCCAGCAGTGAGCCACATCTATTCAAGTGTAATAATCCCATTTGGGTTGTCAGGCATTTGAATAAATCAATGCTCAAGGCCAAGTTTGTGTTGACAAGGACACTGACACCACTGATATCTCTTTTGTCTCATGTTCCGAGGAACAGTTCTTCTCCTGTGTCGAAAATGGCATGATGTGATTGATGCCTTCTCATCTCGGTCAGACCAATGATGTTGTACTTGATCTTTCATGCTTGCACCATCAGGTCCTTGATGGATACATCCGATGCCAACATACATGCATTGAAAGTACAGTCATTTTTGTCCTCTTTGTTTTGGCAGCCTAGATCAACCTTGAGATTTTATCAGCCTCTCCTTCCTCATCCTTCTTAATGCTACCATATTGGTGGCTCATTCAGGGTCAGGGGAATGAGACCCTTGTATTTATTGGTTTTGGCATATCGGATATGCCATGGATAGCTTGCCAGGCTCTGC